ACTGTATCAACCCAACTGTGAACCTAGAAACTTGCACCCACTTGTGAAAGAGATGTACTGTTGCTCTAGAGTGTGTTACTGAATATGTTAAAGCTGTAATGAAATGTTTCTTCTAATCATGTAGTTATTAAAAATTAAAAAATAAATAAAAAAATTAGTATTGGAAAATGAGAAAGTAAACTGGGAAGTTTGTAAAATGTAAGGCTTATGCTGGTTGTGTTGGTGCACACGTGTAATCCTACCACTTAGGAGGCAGAAATAGGAATGCCACCAGTTTGAGGGTAGCCTGTTCTACACAGTGAGTTCCAAGCCAGCCAGAACTACATAGCAAGATTGCGCCCCCCCGCCCCCTGGCACAAAGTAAGGCCTGGAAAAACTACTCAGTGAGAGGAGGAATTTCAACATTATTAAAAGTTAAACCAAGGTATGCTTTAGGATTGATGTCTGAGCCACATTTTTCTTGGAATAATTTTTGCAGAGACTCTCAATGGATAGGACAATTTTTTTTACCTGTTTGTCTCATGCTTCTCTGGTAGGATCCGGGTCTCCTAGGATGAATGTTAAATCAGGATGGTGGTGGAATTCATGTATGAAATAGCCTTTTTGTGTAAAACCTCACTACTTGATGGCTTTGTGTAATGAAAGAATTCAGTGTTAGTGAAGGGCAGGAAATGAAGCCAAAAGATGCATCTCCTTAGATGTGTCTTGAGGTAGAAGAGGGGTCCACATAATAAACCTGGTTCCCTGATAAGCTTTTTCCTCTTCTTGGTCAAATTTTGCCTGATTTTTCTCTTGTCTTGAGTCTCACAGATGTAATAGCACTTAAAATAGTGATAAGAAACCATTTTTAAAAAAGCATTTCTTATACAAAACCGTTGATTTCTATTTTTTTTCCTTCCAGGTTACAATAGTCATCAAGGAAAGTGATAGTTTTGATGTTTTAATGACTTCAAATGAAGTTAATTTCACAAGGCATGAGCAGAAAGCTCTGGTTCCCAGCCAGGATGAGGCAACTCTTCTTTTCCCTATCACACTGAAATATCTGGGCGATATTCCCATCACAGTCAGAGGTGCCTCAGTCACTGCTTTTGATGCTGTCACTCAGAGGGTTTTAGTAAAGGTAAATATTTGCAGTCTTAGATAAGTCAAATGGCAATACAACATGTAATTGAAAAGCAAACAGAAGATGGTTTTCTTTTGTTAAGTTCATTGATATTCCTAAGATGCCCTCTCCTCCATCCTCTGGAAATGCCTAGTTATTCTCTCATCTGTGTGTAAAAGCATAACCACATATGTCATAGAATTACTACCAATTTTCTCTTTAAATTTAATCAGTAGCGTGACACTAAGGCCTATCAAGTATTTTTTATAGTCATTTGTATCTACAAACTGTGTCTTGGTCAAGTTGATAGGTAGAATGGACACTTTGGAATTCCTCAAAGAAGATTTCATAGACTTTTTTGGGAGAAGCCTTTCTGTATAAAAAGACAGCCCAGGCCGGGTGTGGTGGTGCATGCCTTTAATCCCAGCAGTTGGGAGGCAGAGGCAGGCAGATCTTTGTGAGAGGCCAGCCTGGTCTACATAGTGAGTTCCAGGACAGCTGGGGCTACAAGGAGACCCTGTCTCAAAAAGACAGACAGACAGACAGACAGACAGACACACACACACACACACACACACACAAAGACAGCCCAGTGTAATGGATAAACCTCTTGTTTTGGGGTGACATTGCCTTGGGTTTGAGCCTCTGTCCTATTAAATGTGGTTTCAGTTAGGTATTTAGTGCCTCTGTTTGGATAACCACAGAAGAACCTAATTCAGAGGGCTTTCTTGGTCACATTTTCATCTCTTGTAATTTTCATTGCCAATCCAGGAAATGTTTTCTCAGTATAAGTAGAAATGAAATGCTTAACACATTTGGAGTCAGTTTGTACACAAACTACAGGCACAGTAAGCTACATGTCATTATATCTGCATGCAGTTCTCTCTTTACAAATAAGTAGACACTGTGTCAGTTGTGTTCCTTTACCTCCACAGGCTGAAGGAATAGAAAGATCGTACTCACAAACCATCTTACTAGATTTGACTGACAACAAAACGTCCACTGTTGTGAAAACTTTGAATTTCTCATTTCCTCCTGATACAGTTAACGGCAGTGAAAGAGTTCAGATCACAGCAATTGGTAAGAATAGTGTGTTTCTCTACCTCCTTGATTTGTATATGATTTGTATATGTAGAGTTATTATCTAGTTATAGAGATACTGTCTTTAGTCCCAATGAGGAGAGATTGTGAAAGACTTTAGCTGGTTTCAACTGCTGATTACAGTAACAAGGCTAGCAAATTGTGTAACTTAGACTAGCGCTTCTCAACATTCAGCATGCAGACTGGGTGCTTACTTAAAAAGAAATTGTGGTTTAGTATGTCTGAGATAGGGCCTGAGCTCACTCCCTCCTTTTTCCCTTTCTCTCGCTTTGCCTTACAAGGATGAGCACAGGGCCTTGTGCGTACTAGACAAGTGCTCTACCACTGAAATATATCACTGGCCCTTAGTTTCATGAGATAAGGTCTTGATATTAGTCCTGTCTGACCTTGAAATCCATAATTAACCCAGACTGACCTTGAAATCCAGATCCTCCTTTTTCAGCCTCTTGGATACTAGAATTATAGGCAAGCACCACCATGCCTGCCTGGAATTCTTGAATTTCTAAGGTGATGGTGATGCTTCTGGTGTGCAGACCGTGTTCCAAGTACCGAAGCCATACTACATTGTGGGTAGGGCAGGAGACTCCTAAGCAGTGCTTCTGCATTCTGTACCTCTTGGCCACTGGTGAGGCTCTTATCTTGCATGACATTTTGTAAAAAGCACAAATATCTGGGATTTTCTCTAAACCTACTAAATTAGAATTTCTTTTTTTTTTTTTTTGTCTTTTTGAAACAGGGTCTCCCTGTAGTCCCAGCAGACCTGAACTCACTATGTAGACCAGGCTGGCCTTGAACTCACAGTGACCCGCCTGCCTCTGCCTCCCAAGTGCTGGTAAATCAGAATTTCTTAGTCTATAAATCAGGGTGAGTGTATTTTGGAAACTTTCCACGAGCAAGTTTGGATAAACAAGGGCTGAGACTCTAGAGCTGTTCTGTGTGCAGGATGCAAGCAACCTTTCCAGTTGGGATGCTTGTTACTTCTAGTGACCTTCTAGTCACCTAAAATGCATTTCAATCAGAAATAACTTCTACAACATGTGCCTTACTTAGACAGGCTTTTCCAGAGAAATACAACTGAAGGGATAGATGCAAAAGCAGATTTATCATGAGGTGTTTGCTTGTATGATTATGGAAAATTAGAAGTCCATAATCTGTGTTGGCAAAGATTCTATAGTGCCAGTGTAACTCAGTGTGAATCCAAATGTCTTGGTGCTTTGAGAACTAGTGACATAAATCTCATTCTCAGAAGAGGAGATGTAATGTCCCAGCCGGGAAGTAAGGCAGGACAGTGTGACAGCATCTTCTCCATCTGCCCTTACTTCTACTCAGGCCTTCAGTGGATTACATGGTGCTCACACACATTTTTGACAATTAACTTCATTCAGAGTATGGAATCAAATGCTAATCCTATCCCCAAATAGCCTCACAGAGACACTCAGAAACAATGCTTAATCTGGACACCCTGTGGCCCACTGAAGTTGACACAGAATTAATCATCATCATGTTTAATGAATTTAGTTGTGCTTTGTGAATAACTGAAGAAAATGTCTTAATGACACCTAAACTATTAGGTCTTTAAGGTGTTAGGACTCAAGATACATTTTCAGAGTTCTTTTAAATCTTACCCATAGGTGTCACAGTTTTTATTATAACTTCAAGCAGTCAGACTGTATGTAAAAGACCTTATTGGAGCCCTAGATACAATTCTTAAAAAGAATGAAATAAGTTTTCTACTTAGGACAATAAGTTCTGCGTTACTATTTCTTGTGATATGGGGATGTGGGGGGATGTGCTTCACACACACCATAACACAGATGTGCACACATGTAGTGCATGTATGCACACTCAGATACACACAAAGAGGGAAGCCTTGCATTTTTAATGTGCATGACTACTCTTACATAGGATTGAGTTCCTCTGTGATTGCAGAAATTCTCCCAGCTTTTTATTTTTTAAAAATATTATATTTATTATTTTTATTTTATTTGTATGAGTGTATTGCTTGCATGTATGTGAATGCACCCATGTAGTGCAATGCTGCCAAGGTCAGAAGAGACTGTTGGATTCCCCTAGAACTGAAGTTAAGTACGGTTTTTAGCCACCATGTGGGTGCTGGGAATCAAACCCAGGTCATCTGCAAGAGCAGTCAGTGCTCTTAACTGTTGAACCATCTCTCTAGCTCCTCTGAGCTTTAATTTTTATGCTTGATATAAACAATGGATTTTTAAAAACTCACTGTAGGAACCAGAGAGATGACTCAGCCATTAAGAACACTAACTGCTCTTTCAGGGAACCAGGATTTGGTTCCCAGCTCCCACATGGTGGCTCACAACTACCTGTACTCCAGCAACAGGCAATCCAAATGCCCTCTTTTGGCCTCTGTGGACTCCTACATGAATGTGGTACATATAAACTTAGGTAGGCATGCACATATGCTCATATAAATCATTAAAATAATTGTGTAGACAGAATATATGACTATCACCTTGGCTCTTTGAAATATGTATTCTTTTATGTCCCTTTAATATTAAGACATATTTAATATTTTTAAAATATTATAACCTGCAGTAGTAATAATATAACCTGTTTTTTTTTGTTTTTTGTTTTGTTTTGTTTTTTTTGATAACTGATGACAGGCTTGTACCTACAACCTGTTGCCATTTCTTTTTTTGTGCTTGTGTCTTTTAAGATCAGATTTTCACTGGGTATTTAAACTCAGTGTGCTGTAGTTTTTCAAAATAAATCACACAGGATATTCTTCCTCCTATGAAACTCTGTCCCTATTTCTGAATTTTTATTTTCTTTCCTGAGTCATGGTGTTAGAACATGGACAGAAGTCTCTCTCTTTTTTTTCGGTCTTTTTGAGACAGGGTCTCCCTGTAGCCCCAGCTATCCTGGAACTCACTATGTAGATCAGGCTGGCCTTGAACTCACAGGGATCCACCTGCCTCTACCTCGAGTGCTGGGATTAAAGGCGTGCGACACCATGCCTGGCCACAATATGGCTTGTTTAACTTTAGATTACTATCTTTGAAGAATATTCCTGAGCCATTTTGATTGTGAGATCTGTTGAAATGCACTTAATAGGTCTACTTAGTTGCTAAGAAGAGCATTTTGGAAAACACTGAAATTTTTGTTTTAGAAAATGATCACTTTTTAATTATTGAAAACTTAGGATAAAGTTCTGCTTATCTGAAGAATACTAATGACAAAACATTTCTTTCATGAATGGTTGTTCCTAATGGTCAATTCCTGACATTTTTGTTCAAGATTTAAAGGAAACATTGTATGCCCCATCTTTAACTGAGGTGGAAGCCTGATTTATCACATAGCCCACGCTGAGTTCCACATCATTACTGTTTTTCTGATCACGTTTCTACTCCATTCTACTGCATCTATGAGCGATGCCTCTACTGAGAAGAGACAGCTGCCAGCAGGTAAGATTGGTGAGTATTCAGCAAATGAACCCAGTATTTTGTGCTTTCAGGAGATATTCTTTGCCCTTCCATCAGTGGCCTAGCCTCACTGATTCGGATGCCTTATGGTTGTGGAGAACAGAACATGATAAACTTCACTCCAAATATTTACATTTTGGATTATCTGACTAAGCAGAAACAGCTGACAGATGATTTAAAAGAAAAAGCCCTTTCATATATGAGGCAAGGTAAGCATTCGATATGCTTTTATCTGTTAAGAAGTGTGTGTTTGTTTGCAGGTCAGGTTCTTCCTAGGCCATGTTTCAAAATAGATCAATTTTGTCTCTATACATGATGGTGGGACTAGATGGAATTGAGGTGGAAGGTCAGGTAGCAAGAAACTGTCGCTTGTCTTCCTGCAGCCAATCATTCATTAACTCCTGCTAAGGTGGTAGTGGTAGTAAAGATCTATTTTCCAGACTAGTTTCAAACTCCTAGGCAGCTGAGGCTGGCTTTGAATGCCTGATTCTCCTGCCATCACTTCCTGTGGTTGGATGTGTGTGCTGCTGTGGCAATTTCACTACATGTGTGGCATATCTCTTAGTGCTAAGATCAGTTGTAGCGTGGAGGAAGCAGGTGTCTTTCCTCTCAAGGAATTCACTGTTGGCGTTATGTGCTGGGGACCTTTGTGGTACTAAAAATGTCCAGTAGGTGAAGGATGGACAGAAATGTGTGGGGGTGGGTGGGAGCTGGCTCCTCAGAGAATTCCACAGAGGTAGTGAGTCTCTGACTCTGAACTGTTGAGACTGTTCAGACACTATATGAGTTGGCCACTTGCTAATAGCAAAGTCACATGGGTTGTGTGGTTATGTGGCAGACAGTGTTCTAAGCACTCGATATCTAGAATCTCATTCCATGCTCACAGTGAATGTTAACATGATTCCAATTTTGTAGAATAGGAAGCTGAGGCACAGAAAAGTTACATAGTTTTCCCGGGATCATGGCAAGCTCATGGCTAATCTGGAATTTGGACGCAATATCTGGGTCCACAGTCCTTGCTCTCAATATCCATACTAAGAAAAAAATGAAGAGTGGTGAACTATTTTTAATAAAAATAAAATTCAAGTTTGCTTTTTTGAAATACCACAGAATCCAACCCCCAAAATAACAATCTCAGCTTTGTATTTGCCTGTAGTATTTGTCTGGTACGTGCTATACACAAATCTCACGAAGATTTGAAATAAAGACTTCAAAATGACTGGGAAATATTTACCAAAGATAAAGTAGGAACATTTGTTCAATACTATTTAGTTCTTTTTTTTAAAAGAATGAATGGGTTAAAAAGAAAAGAATGAATGGGTTAAAAGCAAAGAGAGGTGCACTGCTAGCTGTTACTACATTTCCACAGACAAATTGAGCTCAAGTAATGACATTATTTTGATATAAACCTTATTTTCAGGTTCTCTCAATATATAGAAGCCTGTTTACCCTAAACTAAATTCTATGTAGTAATAGTAATGTCAGCTACCCTTTTAAAAAACCTTACATGTTTCATTTAATTCTCACAAAAACTACAGGTAGTAGATGCACTACTATCCCCATTTTACAGGTGAGGAAATTGAGGCACAGGGAGGTTCAATGAGCTGTGGAAACCCTGGGGGAATGGGCTGCAGAGTCTGAGAATCCGCAGGGTGTCTCATTTGCATTATTCTTGGGTTGTTAGAAGCAATGGGCTTGATGGATGAGAGCCCAGAGCTGGGCCAAGAGGACCTGAGTACACCAACATGCAGCTGGCCTTAGTGAGGGTTCTGATAAAACAGTAGGGAAGAAGCATGGGTCTGTGGGGGAAGGAAGTCCAAAGGCTGGAGTCTAGTGTTGGATTAGACCAGTGTGAGCTATAAGGTGTTGGATTAGACCAGTGTAAGCTATAAAGTGTTGGATCCAGGCGGATGAGCTGGTCAGGGTCCTCATGGGTGGGATGGTTGCAGACAAAGGCTGAGTGGAAGCCAGGGGTTATGCGAGGAGCAAGGCAGTGTGGGGGAAAAGCCAAGGGGGACTAGGGCTTGGGATGAGGGTTAAGTATCACCTGTCTTATGGGGAAGAGCATGGGGTGTGATTGTCCTCCCTATTAGGAGTGCACATGATGCTGATATTCTGGAAGCTCTCAAACATTCTGGAAGCTCTCAAACACAGAAACTGGTAAGAGTCCCTCAGTAAATTCTCAAAGATCTAGCACTTGTTATTTTTTTGTGTAGAAATACTGATTTAAAAACACTGCTCTTAAGCTGGGCAAGGTGGTGCACGCCTTTAATCCCAGCACTCGGGAGGCAGAGGTAGGCAGATCTCTGTGAGTTCAAGGCCAGCCTGGTCTACGTAGTGAGTTCCAGGACAGCTGGGGCTACAGGGAGACCCTGTCTCAAAAAGACCACACACACACAAAAAAATTACTGTTCTTTAGGGGTTGGGGAATTAGTTCAGTGGTAGAGCGCTTGTCTAGTAAGCCCAAGGTCTTGGGTTCAGTCCTCTGCTATGGGGGGAGGACAAAATAACAAAAAAAAATCCCCAATACCATTCTTTATACACATCTTTATAAATTATATTTTAAATGTATACACACAAGAACTATATTTTGAAAATTCTATTATAATTAGATAGATTTAAGATGGGGTCATCAGTGCTGTCTGTGGTAGGCTGTGTGGTATGCTTTTTTATATCTTTATAATATAAAAGTATGCTTTATATATATATTTTATAACATATAAAGTATGGTATGCTTTTATATCATTTTTATATCTTTACACGCTGGTATAATAGTTGTAGTAAAGAGATGAGTCAAAAGTATTTAGGAGTGTTGTAATTTAACTTTGTGCCCTTTGAAAACAAGATTCCAGTTTCTGCTTAAAATTTATTAGTCTGTCTGGTTTCAACTAAAAATTACATAAGCATTAGATTGGCATTTCATAATTTGGTATTCATTCAGGGTTACATTAAACAATTTTAAAAATTATATTTATTTATTTATTGTGTGTGTGTTTATGTGTATGTGTGTGTGTGTACACATACTACTTTTAGTTCTCTCCTTCCACTATGTGGGTCCCAGTGATTGAACTCAGGTTGTCAAAGCTTAGTGGCAAGCACCTTTACCATCTGAGCCACCTCTCTGGCCCTCATTATGATTTCTTTTTTGTCTTTTTGAGACAGGGTCTCTCCCTGTAGCCCCAGCTGTCCTGGAACTCGCTATGTAGACCAGGCTGGCCTTGAACTCACAAAGATCCGCCTGTCTCTGCCTCCCAAGTGCTGGGATTTCATTATGATATTTTAATAAAGGAACATGTAATAAAATGCCACATAATTCCAAGTTTATGTGTGATTTATGATCTGTAATTTTGGATAATCAAATATTAATACTTAAAATCTATTTTATTTTGTCTGAGTCAGGGTCTCCCTGTGGCTCAGCTGTCTTGGAACTCACTATGTAGACCAGGCTGGCCTTGAACTCACAGAGACCTGTCTGCCTCTGCCTCCCGAGTGCTGGGATTAAAGGTGTGCGCCACCATGTCCAGCATTAACATCTATTTTAAGTGGCTTGAGCAAAGACTCATTCTTTGGAGATGACTTGAGCTTTTTCGCTAGATACTTTGTAAAGATCTTGAGATCTCAGAAGTCCCCAAACCCAATCTTTGTTCTTTCCCAAAAGCAGCACTGGTACTGCAGACCAGTCCTGGCCAGGTGGTTAAACTAGTTTTTCAAAGCCAGCTAGGGATATATATATATCTCGCTCAAGGGTAAGGTATTTGCCTAGCATGAACAAGGCTCTGGGTTTGATTCCCATACTGGAAACAAAAAGATTCAAAATGGCCTCTGTGCCTCTCTCTGATGAGGGAGTGCCTTCCCTCACATTTGTTGGTTGTTAGAGGTGCACATTGACCAGAAGGAAAGAAATCGTTGGTCCCTAGAAATGTGACTTTTCTGCTGTCACCCATAAAGGCAGAATGGGCTCCAAATCCTGGTCCCTACCCGGGGTCTATTTCTTCAGCCTCCCCAGAGCCTGTTTTCCCATCTGTAAGATGAAGTATTAAAAGGACCTACGTGGTATGCTTGCTTTGACCATTGTACGTCTAGAAACAAATTAAGTTCTTCTGTACCCTGGCTAAAGCCGTTGCTGTCCACCTGGAATAATGCAAGAGCCTTACATTATTCCTTCGCAGTCCTTCCATGTGTGTTCACTCCTCTTCAGTAAATCTTCACAGATCATAAAGGGATCTTTTAACAGTGTCCAGCATGCCCAGGCTCCTCTGGTGTATTTCCAGTGTTGGCCTCTCAGGTTCAGAGTGAACTTCGGCCTCAGTGTAGCTGTTTTTGATTTCCTTCTGCTCTGTCTTGAGCCCCTGTGGCCCCACGGGGCTGGGCACTGAGCTTGCCCCTTGGTGGAGTGCTCTTTCTCCAGCTCTGGCTTCTTTTCGGTGCTCCAGTGACTTCCTCAGAATAGCCTTCCCCAACTAGACAGTGACACCTGTATTACTCCATTTTATACTCTTTACCTAATATTATTTAAACTGAGCCTGATTGGTGTCCATCTCCTGCATGTAGAGGGGGCTCTGTGCTTAATCTCTCCTTCCCCATGTCTGGGCACCTCAGTTAGTGTGACTGGGTGAAAGAATGATCAGTATTAACTTCTTTGGGCGTTATGTCATCTTCCTGTGGGGGTTTGGCCTGGAAGAGCACTGAGGTTCTCCTACAGTGTAGCTGTTGCCGGTAACACTTGACCATTCTACCTGGCTGTAGTGTAATATTCCTATCCAGGAAATGTGACCAGTGATTCCTCTGGTGTCCTTTGAGCTGGTGAAGTGCCTGCTAAGTCAGCAGAGTGGAGTTCCTCCAAAAGCATCATCTGGCACGTAGAGCCAGATTCCATCTAAACAGCAGGCAAGCATTGCCCAGTATCATTCTTTTCATTGTGAAACCAGTGTCTCATTTCAGAACTGCCTTTTCTTTTGCCATCACGTTTGCCAAAGTCCTGTAAATATAACGTAGTTGTTTTTATTTTTTAAAAAAGTTAAAGTGGTTTTGATGTGAGTCATGATTGTTTAAATGTCACTTAGGAAAAGCATATTGTTTTACTTAAATCTTACTTGGTGTGGAGCCCTGTAACCTGTTGCTTTTGGTTAAAACAATGGCTACATCATTGAATGATATATATTTTACTGTCAAAAAAAGAAATGCAGAGCCATAAAAAGAAACTTTCTGA